AATGGCCCACCCTGTATATAACAAACTATTTTGCCCTATTTAAAACGGCTCAACCCCCACAAATCTTGTTTGAAGTCCTTCAGGGGGGATCAAGTGTTAATTGTAACGTGTAATTCACACCCTGGCCAAGATCTGTCATTTTCTGAGATCTGAGTCCTTTTGCTTGATTTCACTATAAGCAGCGTTAACACTGACTCAAATGTGCGCTGCATTAAAGGATTTTCTAACTTAGAGTTTTTGTCTTGTTTTTAGTCCAAATATCTAAAAACTCTGAAATAAAGAAGCATTTCTAGACAAGTAAAACATCTTTAAATCCAGAATCAAACACAAAAGTGCTTCAGGGGTAGCTGATGTGTTGGTGCTCTTTGAATAAGAGATTCATAAAGACACACAAAAAAATTGTAAGTCCAAGGCACTCGAATAATAAGTGAAAAAACGTTAATATTATTATTTTAAATCCAACACTATTCTGCTCTTGACCTATGCGCTTTGGCTATGTCAATAAAGCCTTTTTTATTTTTTCACTTTCTAAAAGCCTTGGACTTATGATTTTTAAAGTAAAAAGTATGGCATTTATTTGGTTTTCAGAAATAAATTATCAAAATTAAGTTTTTCCTCAAAACAAGCTAATCTGCCAGCGGGGCAAGTAAAATAATCTTATTTTAAAAGAAAAAAAGGTTTATTTAGCTTACAGGATTTGCTTGTTTTAAAGAAAAACTCACTTGCTTTTTAATAATTCATTTCTAAAAACAAAACAATAACTTTTTTTCCTGTCTGTAATTTATAAATTCTGTTATAATAAAGGTTGAAAAGCCCTAAAAATATTAATAAAAAAACAAAACAAAAAACAATACTTTTACTTGTCTAGAACAGGGGTTCTTAAAATCTTTTAGCCCGCGACCGCTAAAATTACAACTTCAATGACTCGCGAGCCTCAGTATGCTCAGAGATGGTTATAGGTATGCAAATATTGCACACAACGGTGCACACTCATCAATAGGAACTATATAAACATAAGCATATTGACAACACAAAAAAGTGTAACAGTCTTACAACCATATATTTTTATAATCATTATTCGTTTGTTTAATTTAATATTAATCTCACTTAATCAGAATGGTGGGCACAATGTTTATAGCACAAGACTATTCTTGGTTTAATCTTGGAGACTTGGAGACTTGGTCCTCCTTGTTCAGTCATGACCTTTATTTTTAATATATGTGCGTGTCGTAAAGGTGTCAAAGTTTAATATTGTACCGTAAAATCAATTTACTGCACCTAATGCTATCGCTATGACGTTAATCTAACATAATCACCCCAGGAGTCGCAATCCAATGGAAAAAAATTTAAAGGCTGATGGCTTTTTATTTGCAGGTTTTTTTTTTTATGTAAGTATTAAATATTAAATACATATTATCTATAAATAATATTAAAATATAAATTATATATGAAGTATATATTATAAGTAAAAAACAATTTATCTTCTGCAGGTTCTAGATAAAATATGGTAATTCTAATTATTTAATAAAAATTAAAATTTTTATAAAAAGCGACCCCTCCCCCCATTGTTTCCCGACCCCCAGGGGGTTCCGACCCACTCTTTGAGAACCACTGGTCTAGAAAATACTTTTTGATTTAACATTTTTTCAATATTGGATGAAAATAAGACAAAAACTCCAAGTAAAAAGCAACACGATTTTTGTTTGAACCCATACCAAAACGGCAGGTGTGTAATCTCACATTTATCTCATCACAAATCACTGGACCATTAATAATAGAGATATCACATCTGGCAAAGAGACTACCAACGAAAACTCCACTGCAAAAAAAATGTTGGGTTCCATACAATCGAATTATGCTGGGACATAATGAGGCAATTAAGTTAATTAGTTTTTACAAATTTAACTGTATTGAATATAAAACAATTAAGTTTTTCCAAAAAACTCAAGAATTGTGTTTCAGCTCATTTTGACTAAGTAATTTTAACAAAGAGCAAAAGTCATTTTTTGAGTATAGCCTTTGTTTTTAAATTATGTACATTTGAGGAATGTTGATTAATGTACACTGTCCCTTCATTGTGAAACAAACAAAACAAACAAACCACTGGACCAACTCGAATGAAAAATGTCTAATCCATTCCATTGCATACACTGTAAAAAAATGTGTTGGGACAACATGAAGAAATTATGTTAACTTATTAGCTTTTACAAATTTAAGTGGATTTAACTTAAAACAATTAAATAATAGTTTAGTTTGAGCTCATTTTAAATTAGTAGTTTGAACAAACAGAAAACATCATTTTTTTGAGCGTACCTCCTTTAGATAAACACTAGACAATTCTAGAGCATGGCCACACATTATATCATTTCAACATCGACATTGCAATATGCGCATCCACAATGGTCAAATTGTACGATATACAAGGGTGAGTCTGAATTACAGTTAAACAGGAGCCACAGAATTGTATTTATTACTCAAACTGTTCAATTCAAACTGATAACATGATTATTTAACTTCCCCCACTAGCAGATGATTTTGCTTGTTTCATGGAAAAACTCTTAATTTTGACTTATTTCTTTTCAAGTTGAAAACAAAACTATATTAATAATTACTAGAAGTTTTTGATATTTACTCTCGAATCAAGACAAAACAAGAAAAGCATTTATTGCACTTTGATTATTCAATTTCAGTACCTGAATACTGTTAGGCTCCCAAAAAAAGTCAGTGCTATTTAGTGCTATATTCAAACTATCTTGTGGAACTGTTTTCATATCGCAATATTTAATCACAGAAAATATCGACATATCAGATTTTACCAATATCGTGCGGCCCTATTTTAAAGGAATGCAGAGTTACTCCTATAATAAGTGAAACATTTTTTAAAACAACACTATTGTGCACTGCACCTATGCGTTTTGGCCTTGTCAATAAAGCCTTTTTCACTTTCACTTTTTAATGGCTTTGGATTTATGATTTTTAAAATAAGAAATATGGTTTGGTTTTCAGAAATAAATTATTAAAATGATTTTTTTCCTTAAAACAAGCAAAATAATCTGCCAGTGGGGCAATTAAAATAATCTTATTTCAAACTAAAAACAAGTTTATTTTGCTTGTTTTATAGAAAAACTTTTTTATGATTCATTTCTGAAAACAAATCAATAACTTTTGTTACTGTCTGTAAATCTCAAATTTATTATAGTAAAAGTGAAAAGCCCTAAAAAATTAATAAAATGAAAAAAAAAAAAGTTTTTACTTGTCTAGAAATTGGTTTTTGATTCATAATTTTTTAGATTTTGAACTAAAAGCAAGACAATTTTTGTAGCATATGTCTGAACCCTAACCAAAACCGGCAGGAGTGTAATATTACATTAATCTCACCACACACTTATTTCTTCAAGTTAAAAACAAAACAATATTAATAATTACTCTAAGAATTTTGAGATATTTCGACTAGAAACGAGACAAAGCAAAGCATTTATTGCATTGTGATTATTCAAATTCTGTCCCTGAATACTGTTAGGCTCCCTAAAAAAAGTCAAAAAGTGCTATTCAAGTTATCTTGTGGAACTGTATTCATATTCCAATATTTAATCACAGTAAAATACCGCCCTATCAGACTACACTACACTACACTATTGTCCTGCCCCATTCTAGAGGAATGGAGAGTTATGAATTTTAAGTTATGAGAGGTAGGACTGGGAGGTAGTGAGAGGAATGCAATTGACACCATCTTCTCAACGAGATCGCTGGGCTCCAGGGAACCCAGTTGTCCTGCAGGGACGGTCGCAGCTGGATACTTGATGGACGGGTGGGAGAAGTGGAGAGTTCTGTGTCTAGCTGCTCTGTCTCTGGAGGATATTGAAGATATCTACCTATTCGGAACTTTGATAACAGGGTTTCTGCTGATGGGCTTATGCGGGGCCCTGGGATATCGGAAACTGATAAAAACTGTCAGCGCAGCTCAAAACCCCACCAGGCTGGCCGGCTTGATTGAAACACTGATGGGTAGGGTCGCGAATCAGACTATGATCCTTGACCGCAAACTGGAAACCATCGAGGTGAAGCTTGCGGCTCTGCAACAAATTTTGGCCAGATCGGGAGATGAGTGATGGACATTAAATATCTGTGAAATTGGCAGATATTGACCAAAAGTTGAAATATCTTCCTGTCTTTTTTTCGGCTCTCTTCTTACTCCTGCCAGACGGCCTCGGCTGGAAGTAAACAACTCCGCGGGACAAGCAAGATAAGCAGACGCTCGGAAATTCCTGCCCCTGCCAAGGACACCTGCTGGACCCTGGACTCTGCAGGCTCACACACACAAACATATCTACAGATAAACATTTACCACCGATCACCATCCAAACGCCTTCGTGTGCTTTTACCCACGAGGGGTGTGGGCGGGACTGTGACTTGCGCTTGCTGTCTGCTGGACCAGTTGGCTGCCCGCACTCATCGGATTGTTTTCCATTTCCCCTGTTCCCATCCCCTTTGTCAATGTCGTGTCTTGCCGGTGTGCTTATGCTAAGAGAGGGCTGTGTTTCTCCCTTTTCTCACTTTGTCCTAATCAAGAGCAAGCTGAGGGGGTGTTTTTTTACCTAGCTGTCCAGATGTATCTTTCTTCGTTTTTAAATGCTACCTCCTATGATCTGTCTCCCCTGAAAATTGTGATGTTTTGTGTATGTTCTGGGGGGTCCAATTTCGCTATACGAAAGTGTAGTGACAATAAATGCTTGATTGATTGATTAATTGATTGAGGTCAAAGCTCTAACAGGTGGATCCCATCCACATCCACCTGCAGCTCACAGATCAGGCCAACCTGTTCTCTTCTAAGAGTGTCACAGAGGTGTTTGGTGACCATTACTCTCTCTCTCTCTCATCTCACACTCTCACTCAACTAATGGACTGTTTTTGCCCCTCCCCTTCGTTTCTCCATCTCGGACTGGGAGGTAGTGAGAGGAGGAGAGGAGGCAACAGCCCACCGTTCCCCAGGGCCCTGCTACACGGCTCAATAGCTCAGCTCCTGGATGGGATCATAACCCTGAGTGCTGGCCAAGAGAAAAGCTGCGTCTTCTCACATCCAGAGTTGTTGCTTGCAGGGTGGAGTTCCCCCCCAGGATAACAAACTCACTCCAAACCCCAGCATGGCTGACCATAGGGTGGCCCCGGTTGTGGGTTTTCTCCTTTTTTTGGTTGCACCGGTCTGGAGCGGATGCCCAAGCGCATGCCGCTGCTCCTTCGCTATGCTACAATGCCTGGAGTCAGATGGCATCACCAGCATCCCGGCGCTGGCAGCGCAGGAGAGTGAAAACGTCACTGAAATGTAAGTTGAGTTGGGAAGTAATTGGGTTAGTTCTATAGGTTTAAGAAGATAAAATGTGGAGATGTTTTGGTAAAGTTGCTGAATTTGGTTTTGATGAAGTATTCAGGTTAGTTCTGTAGGTTAAGGAGAAATAAAAACATTGAGATGATTGGGTAAAGTTGCTGAGTATTTTGTTTTGAGAAAGTTTTCAGGTTAGCTTTTGGTGAGATGTTTGGCTAAAGATGCTGAGTTTACTTTTGACTAAGTATTTGGGTAAGTTCTGCGAGCTGTAGGCTTAATGAATAAACGCTGAGATAATTGGGTAAAATTGCTGAGTTTTGTTTTGACCAAAGATTAAGGTTAATTCTGTAGGTTTAAGATGATAAAACTATGAGGTGCTTTGGTAAAGTTGCTTAGTTTGGTTTTGACCAAAAATCAAAGTAAGTTCTGTAGGTTTAAGAATGTTGAGATAATTGGGTAAAGTTGCTGAATTTGGTTTTGACCAAGCATTTGTGTTGGGAATCAAGACAATTCTTGAGTTTTATGATGGTGATGATTGGGTGAAGTTGCAGAGTTTGGTGTTGATGAAGTATTCGGGTTAGTTCTGCGAGCTGTAGGCTTAATGAATAAATGCTCAGAGGATTGGGCAAAGTTGCAGAGTTTTGTTTTGACCAAGAGTCAAGGTTAGTTCTTAAGATTGTTGAGATAATTGGGTAAAGTTGCTGAGTTTGGTTTTGACCAAGTATTTGTGTTGGGAATCAAGACAATTCTTGAATTTTATGATGGTGATAATTGGGTGAAGTTGCTGAATTTGGTGTTGATGAAGCATTCAGGTTAATGTTGAACGTTTAATGAAATAAAACATTGAGATGATTATGTAAAGTTGCTGAGTTTGGTTTTGACCAAGTATTTGGGTTAGTTCTGCAAGCAGGAACACTCAAAAAAAGTTTTTTCCTACTTGTCCAAATTACTTATTTAAAATAAGCTGATTTTACACAATTGTCATGTTTTTTTTTTTTGGGGGGGGGGGGGGGGGGGCAACTTTATTGTTTTGTGTTCTATCCACTTAAATTTGTAAAACAATGAAGTTAACTTAATCAATTTGTGTTGAGACAATATAAAGGAACTGTGTGGAACCCAGCATTTTTACAGTGAATAAACGTTGAGATGATTGGGTAAAGTTGCTTAGTTTGGTTATGACCAAGGATCCCGGTTAGGTCTGTAAGTTTAAGAAGATAAAATGTTGAGATTATTGGGTAAAGTTGCTGGGTTTGGTGTTGATGAAGTATTCAGGTTAGTTCTGTAGGTTTAAGAAAATAAAACTTTCTGAGTTTGGATTTGACCAAGGATTCTGGTAAGTTTTGCAAGCTGTAGGCTTAAGGAATAAACGTTAAGGTGATTGGGTAAAGTTGCTGAGTTTGTCTTTGATGAAGTATTCAGGTTAGTTCTGTAAGTTAAAGACGATAAAACTTTGAGATGCTAAAGTAAAGTTGCTGAATTTGGTTTTGAATAAAAAATGATTTTTTCCAACTTGTTCAAACTACTTATTTAAAATTTAGTTTTTTGGTACAACTTAATTGTTTTGTGTTTAATCCACTTATATTTGTAAAAAAAAATGAAGTTAACTTAATTTGTGTTGAAACAACACAAAGTAATTTTGTGAAACCCAGCATTTTTTTTAGAGTGAATAAAAGCTGAGATGGGAAAAAGATGGTGAGTTTGGTTTTGAGCAAGTATTCAGGTTAGTTCTGGAGGTTTAAGAAGATAACACGTTGAGATAATTGGCTGAAGTTGCTGAGTTTGGTTTTGACCAAGTATTCAGGTTAGCTTTAGGTAAGGTGATTGGGTAAAGTTGCTCAGACTTCCATCAAAGTTGGAAAAATGGTAAAGACGGATGAGTTCAATCCAAGGTATTGGCCTTCATGATTTTTTTTTATGGAGAAATTAGTGCATTTAGCTAGTAAGTTTGTGCATGAATTTGTTTTTCCCTGGCAGACCAATCAAATTATCATCCAGCATTTATTGTAGTAAATACAGTACTTTAAATTCAGAAGTCAACATTTGAAGTGGTTCATCACCTTTCATCAAAGTTGTGTTAAAACTATTGAACAACGGCCATTCTTGTTTTTTTTTTTACAATCTTTTTATTAAGATGTAAAAAAAAAAGTGACAATTTAATACATCGCTATCATATTTACATCTTTGTTTTCAATTCAAAGGAAAAACACAGGCCCCATTCTTGTTTTACATCCATTTGGACGTCATTTTTATCCACTTTGAATGTTAACTACTGTACATTTAATTTAAAGGGATAGTTTAACCAAAAAAATAAAAATAAATGTAAGAAAAGAATGTCTTAGTTTACTCTCCCTACACTTGTTCCTGAAGAAAATCTGAAACCATTAGTAGCAATATTAGGAAGAAAAATAGAAGTCATTTTTTCCAGCTTTCTTCAAAATATCTTCTTTAGAGCTCAACAGAAGAAGGAAGCACATAAAGGTTTATAACCAATTTGAGGGTTTCATTTCTTGGGTGAACTATCCCTTTAATTTGTAAAACCTCAACACACAGAAGCAGAACTTCAAAAACAAAGAAATCCTTGGGAACTAATCAAGGACTGGAGGAAAATGGCCTGCTACATACAGTACTTTTGTGCTGCTGAGCTTCTCTTTAAGTGCCTTTAAGAGTGTTAGATATGTAATCTATTCTCGGAAACTGTGAGAAAACATCTTGTGTGTACAGTTAGACAAATAAAACTCAGAGGTGCAAGATTTGCAGAGAGTGTTGAGATCAGTTTAGTGCACTCCATTCAGAATGGTGTTTATATCACTCAAGTGTATAGAGAGACATAATAATCATACCTTTTACAATATCATGCATTCTATTTCTCATCCCTTCAGTGTAAACGACGATAGAAAAAGCCTGTCAGTTGGTTAAATATATCACTTTACCATAAGCCATGAAAAGGTAACTGTTACTGAGAAACATGATGATTCATTAAGTCAAACAAACATCCTTACACGCACCTGCTTCAAAACCATGCTGCAACTTCTGTTCTATAAATGTGTTTTACTGTATTTTAGTTCATGTTAATTGCAATTTGGTGCCACTGAGATGTGTGTTACCTTCATGGTGTATGTGGGTCACACTGTGCACTGCCCATATCTGTGTCATAGAGGCTGGAGAGAATGTTTTTGATCGAATGTACGTCATCAGGTGCTTTTTCATTTTCCCAACCTGCATCATTATGCTGAAATGATGAATTTTTTTAGATTAGGTTTTCAGGATCTGGATCACTTTGTGCACTGGAAGAGATGAAAAATAAAAATTAAATGAAGCTCAAATGAAATGGAATGCATTTTCACTGTATGAAATGCATGAAAAGAGCAGCTTTGACATTTATAATACTACCTCCTGTTGTTTCATTAGTAGAAAATATGTTAAGTGCCATCGAAATAGATAACGCTTTCAGAGTTGCACTCAAAAATGCAAATGGATTAAATTGAAACTAGATTCAATGCCAATGCACAGAAAAAAAGCTGCTTTGACATGCTGATATAACTTCTGTTGATTTCTATGGGGGTGGAAATGTCACACGAGTTTAAAGTGACATTACAACTAATAGAAGACGACGAAATGTTTTCGACTGCAACCTGATTGACTCGATTTAAAATGCAAATGCCTTAAACTGAAACTCAATTCAATTTTGCTGAATGGAAAAGAGCAGCTTTGACATGTCGGTGTAACTGCAGCTGTTTACTATAAAGCAGAGATGCCCAAAAAGTTAGCCCATAAAAACCTTTGATTTGGCCCACCCTTTCATCTGAGAGTGGTTTAGAGATTGTCATTTCAAATTTAATGTAACCTTATATTTGTTTGTTTTATTGTTAGGCTACAAAAAAGCCATCTGAAATTAAATGTTTTAATGTAAACAGTGTAAATTAATCAGATTTTGTTTCAAATGTACATACGATGGATAGAGGACAAAGCAGAGACTTTAGTGAATCAAGACAATAGCAGATTCTCAAAACTCCACTGTGTTATAAATGTTTATGTTTTTATTGAAACAAGTTAGAATTAAAAAAAGTTATCCTGTATTAGTTAATGTGATTCATAGTAATGTTTTCTATTTATTTTTTATCAATATTATGGAATGATTTCGGAAATTACCCATGGCAATTATAATGTTAAATAGTTTGGTATTTATCTTCGACCTATGGTTATCAATGGTATTTGGTTTTTAGCCCTGAACATGAAAAGGTTTGGGCATTCCTACTATAGAGGAAAAATGTGACATAGCTTCAAGAAATACGAGAAAGTATAGACAAATGTTTGAGAGCAACACAACTAAAGCATAGTAGGCCTCCGTCGGTCAGTGTTGACCATGGATTGTGTATCCTAGCTCTTATTTTGAGGCATGACTGATTGTCTGAGACAGCATCGTTGGTGGCTGAAGAGACCAATACGGGAAAGGCATTCATTACCGCAGCAGTAGCATTGATAGGTGGCTCCCTGGCTGACGTTCTGCACCTTTTAGTGAACTTGCTTGTCCTCAGACGCACGCATCATGTTCTTCTCACCTGACTTGAGCTGTTTGGTCATGGTGCACCTCCATTTCAGGCGGTCTGCTGTGAGGTCTTCCCAGGACTTGGTGTTTATGTCGAGGGCTTTCATGTCCCTCTTCATGACATCTTTCAATCTCAGAATTGGGCGTCCTGTGGTTCTCTTCCCAGATGAGAGTTCTCCGTAGAGGATATCCTTTGGGATTCTCCCATCCTTCATGCGGCGCACATGGTCAAGCCAGCGCAGGCGACATTGTCAGAGCATGGTATACATGCTGGGAAGGCCGACTCGAGTCAAGACTTTGACGTTGAGGACTTTGTCCTGCCAGATAATGCCCAGAATGCGGCACAGACCTCTTAGGTGGAAGGTGTGCAGTCTCCTCTCCTATCTTGCATAAGTGGTCCATGTCTCACTCCCATACAGCAGAGTGCTGATGACGCAAGCGTTGTCCACTGCTA